AATACTACAAACATTTTTGTGTAGTTTTATTCCTTTTTTGTTGTTCTTTTTCAATTGTCACAGTACTTGTAGACTGTTCACTGTTAATTTCTTTTATGATTTGCCGTCGTCTCTTGAATGAAGGCATTAAATATATTTTGAATATAAATATTTAATTATTTCAAGTATTTAGATATTTAATTATTTATATTTTGATGAAAATATTTGGTTAAATAAATTAAGGTTGTTTAAAGTATATTTAATTTACATTAAAGGATTTTATTTTTAAAAATTGTCTAAATATTTAAAATATATTTTAAGATAAATCGAGAGAGATGGACATCTTAAAAGGAAAAATAAAATACATACATGAAAATAAAATTAAGACAATCATTTAAGTTAAATATTATAGTATAATAAATAAACATAAAATAAATAGATCCGAATATTCATGGATTTCTCATGTCCGCCAACCTTAGTCATAGACTAAAAATGTCAGGGATATTTTAAGCAAGATTACAAATACAAAATACTTCATTTCCTGTTACCTCAAACCTTTTTCAAGAATAAAATTAAAGAAATCTGTATAATAATTATATTTAAATTTAATTAAAGATAATTTATTTTTCATTAAATAATTTTAAAATTAACGATAAAAAATTTAAATATGGACAGAAAATATTTAAATATATTAACCAAATAATTTTTATGAATGTACAAAAATATACATATTTATTTACTCCTCTTTTTTCTTCAAAAATATACTAATCACACATGCGCATACATACAACACAAAATATGCAAAAAATAACAATAGAGTGCGGAAATTTTTTTTCTTAAAAAATAAAAAAACATATTTTTTGTTGTGGCGGCCACAACAGAATTGCCAGTTGAAAAGTAACAGGTGCATATTTTTCTATATATTTACTAGTAACGGCTGGCCATTGTTGGATAGTCAATGATATAGAATTGTTGAATATGTAGTGAATTGTTGATATTTAAAAATGAATTTAAAAAGATTAAAATAATTAAAAACTGTGGCAATAAATTAACGGAATTTTAAAAATCTTGATGGACCCGAGGACTATTAAAATTCGAATCTTTCTAGATTGTTACTTGAAGTATTATTATATGTAATTATTACCAGACCTGCTCATGGATACAAAGATGGATACAGATATTATGAAAATGACTGTGGATCTCTGTCCGGATACGGATACCAAAATCAGTATCCGTGAGCATGTCTGATTATTACACTTCCATCAATTGTCAGACATTACTCCTCATTTATATTTTTTATATTCTACCCGTATAAAAATAAATTATAAAATAATTATCATTAAATACATAAATTTTAAAATTAAATAAAAGATGTTTAATAATTAAAGGATTAATATAAAATAATTTTAAGGAATTGTTAATACAATAAAATAAAAATCCTTCGAATTTTCTTCTTCTTCTTAATCATCCAAAAATGTAAACTCAATTCTCTCCCTTTTTTCTGTTCGGCCGCCGTTCAAACACGCCTTTTCTCTTCCGGGTGGTTGGAGGTTAAGAACAACGATCTGCTTGGTTGCGCATGGACAAACATGACGGCAAATAAAGCTTTAAATAGTTCTTGAGAATTTTTATTTTAAATTGCTGCCAAAAGAAAAATTAAAAATAAAAAAATAAAAATTAATTTATCCCGTGTTTGGATCGAAAAGGAAGTACAAAACAAATAAAGAGAACAAACAATACATTCAGTATCGGCTGACACAAAAACAATTACAATATGTGTTACTTACTGACCTTTGGCGGTAAGTTTGTTTATTCAAAAAAATGTTTTTTATATAAATTATGATGCACTTTTATATTGTTTAACTAATAATTTTCCAAAAAATATGCCAATTAGTTTTTAACTTTCAGAATTTTACAAAAAATTTTAGTCTAAATAAATATTTAAAGTTTTGACAACTACCGGCAAATATTAATTTAGCTTCTAAACGATTTTAATGTGTAAATAAACACATTTTTATTAACACATTTTTGTAAATCTTCGAATATTAAAAGTCACAGATGAGCAATCACATTTAATTAGAAAAAAAGAAGAATTTCTAAATGGTTCGGATCGTGGAAAAGAATATAAGACGTAATTTTTACAGATTTAGCCCGGATTTATTCTTCCGGCAAATTTTGTTTAAAATTAAATAATTAGTACTTTAAAAAATAAATATTAAAAAATGTAAACATCCCTTTCTTCTTTTTTAAATTGTAAACAAGTAAATATTTACGTTATTTAAAGGCTATATAATGAAAACAACTTTATTTTGAAATCATTTTTTTATTTTTAGTTATTTTGTTATTTTTTCTACTAAAATCCTTAGAGTGGTATTTAAAAAACTCATTTACTGATAAATTGTTAAAATTTAGAATTTTTATTAAGCATTCTCCATTGTTTTTTTAATAAAAATTTTTTAGTCAAATTACTATATTAACTTTATTATCTGAATTATTCTATTAAAAAACAACAAAAAATGGTTACTTTAAATGTAAATTTCTAATAAATTATTTCAAAATTTAAATATAAATATTATTTTAGCAACCAAATCTTCAAAAGATCCTTCATCTTCCGGCCTCTCAACGAGCTGTTCCATATGCTATTATGGCTACTGCAGTTTGTGTAGCTACTTATTATCTCCTAAATATTCGAGAGCCAGTTGGAATTCATTCTCTAAAGAAAGGAAAGGACCAAACGGAAAAGAAAAATTAAGCAGAAGATATGTAATATTTACAGCTCACATTCAGGATATTTAATTTTTATAATGTTTTGTTGAAAACAAAAATTTTGAAACTCTAAAAACGGAAATAAAATATTTTATTTTAATAGAATAACAATTTATATTAGAATGGCATGCTTTAGAGAAATGTAAATTAACAAAGAGAAAATGATAAATAGGTTTATGATAGGCTATGACCATTTATCTCATAAAGAAATTTGTTTTCTTGTCTTAGTTTAAGTGAGTTAATGTCAGTCTAGTTGTATATGCAGTATTTGCCTAATCCCTAGCCTCCTTAGTTTGTGATTTCCTACGTTGCTATCTTCTAGAAAGTATAGAGCATTCCGTTTTGCTCGTCAATCTTATCAAATTTGTGATATTACATCGTTCTGGAAGGTATTAGAACTGACGTTGATTCGATGAACTTAAGTCCAAATCAAGAAGAAAATTCCTCAAGGAGCCAAAAAATCCCTCTTGAGGTTATGTTGATACATCATGTGCTAAAGAGGTCCGTAGGACTCAATTTTCTCTGAAAAATAGGAGACATTCTCTATTTGAAGGAACCTTCTAATGACCGCATATTTAAATTCCAAAAACATTTCAAGTGATAAATATATATATATTTAATGTCTACCATAGTAACTAACTTGTAATTACGAAATATTAATTATATTTTTCCTATTAAATTCTTTAAAAATTCACGTGAAATATTGTACAATTATATTTTATAATATTGCACTTTCATTTAATAAATAGTCTGAATAGGCAATTTAAAAGCAACCTCACTTAAAATTCTTAAATGTTTTTACTCTTATTTTTAATTATTTTTATATTAAAAACAAACATAATTATAATAGTCAAAAATTACATATGATATTCATAGGAAGTATACCTTTTTATTAACTTAATTAAGAAGTTTCAATAAAAATAAAATATACATCAACACAATAGATTTCCTCCCTCTACATACATATGTTTACATAAGATTAAGACTTACTAAAAATCACAATATATTCGGAACTGATATCTGAAATAAAAATTCTGGAAAAAGAGATTCTGCTTATTTTCCCTTAACTCTTTTTAGAATAATTTAATTAATTTTTAAAAATTAAATGTTTGTTAATTTAATATTCTTATTATTAATACAAACATCAAATGGCATTCCGAATCCTTTCAAAGGTATTATTTAAGGTTATGAATTAAATGAAAAATTAATTATTTTAATAATTTTGAAAAATACTCTACTCTAGTAAAAGGATAAATTTAAAAATAAATTTTTCTGAGAAACTAATTTTTGTAGGAAAACGTATGTAAATTAACATAATTAAATTAATTATTAATAGCAATGTGCAATATTTATGAAAATTTTACTTTCATTGAGAACCCTTTAAATGGTTCTACAGAAATAATGTTGGAGAATTATTACAAGGAATTTTTTCTAACAGAAGATGTTAATCAAAAAATAAAAAATTATTTTAAAATTTCAATAATTTCTCATATATTTTTGCTTGAACTTGCAATGGACAGAAATGAGCCAAGAAAGAATATTGGGTTACTAAATTTATTTAAATATTTATTAAATATTTATTAAATAATTTATTAAATATTAATAAAAATTTAAATATTATTAATAATATTTATTAATAATTTAAATAATTTTTGAGTATTTTTCTTGACGATATTTTGTGATATTTTAAATTTTAAAACAAAAATTTTAAAATTTTTATATGAATTAAGAGAGTCCTCCAATAACTTTATATTATTCCATTAAAGATTTTTTCGTCGAATGAATTATTGTTATCCAATAATTAATTATTATGAAGCTAACCTTTGCAATTTAATTTCATTTAAAAGAAAATATAATGAAGAATTAAAAGAAAAAAGTGGAAAAGATTATATAAAATTATCTGATAAAATAAATTGTTGTGAAACTGATCAAAAAAAATTAGAAAAAATAATTATAGAAAATATTGAAGAAATTTGGGATGCTAATTTTATAGTTTTTTCTAAGTATTTAATTAAAGAAAGAACTTCTTTTCAAGAAATGATGAGGTAAAAAAGTGCCGAAACAATAGTTAACTTCCCTTGAATAATGACCCTCCCCCCTAACGAGAGGTTATTCGAGAAAAAAAAAGAAAAAAAAATTGGCAAATATTTAATAAAAATCGAACTTTTTTAAATATGTAATTTTAAAGACTCAACACAGAAAGAATAATTAAAACTAGCTACGGAATTACTGACTTTGCTAAAAAACTTTCTACAATGATTGGAGCAATACGTGGAATGGCTATGCATAGAATGTTTCCAGGCATTTTAAATGAAATTTGTATGTAATTATAAATATTAAAATATAATATTTACATAATACTAGAATATCTAAGTATTAAAAATGGACCTCGTTTTAAATTTAAATTAATTTAAATTTTTCAGCTGATGAAGAAGTCAATTATTTCTTATTTGTATTATTAAATGATTCTCTTTCGAGTAAATCAAAATTTATGAGATGGCGTGCAAGACATATTCTTGATTATTTTCTTTACGAACAATGGTACAAAACTAATGTATCTGATAGTAAAAAAGATGGAATTGACAAAATAAAAATTGTTTGGGAAATAATTTTTGAAAATTATCTGGAAGGAAATAACTTTCTTAAAGAATTTGTTTTGAATTTTAGAGAACTTGAAGAAGAGGAAATAGAAGATGAATTAGAGGTTTAAATTAATTTAGCGTAAATAATTAATTAATTGGATTTTGTTTATGTAAGCTTAAACTAAAAAATACATATAAAACTTCAGTTTTTGACTTGGAATAATTAATTTAATTAAAGGAATTATTTCTTAATCCATATGGCTATGCAGATGAAAATTATGATATTCATTTAAAATATTTATTTTTAATGAAGGAATGTACTGAAAATATTTTAAAAACAAATGAATTAAATGAAGAAAATAAAATTTTAGAATATTTAAAAAAATGTGTAAATGAGGAAATATTAAAAGAAAATAAAATTGAAGAAAATGAGAAAAATTTGCGTTTGCAAAAAATTATTGAAAAATTGACTAATTCGAATAAAGATGATGCTTTGTTTGAAAATCACAAAATAAGAGTTAAAGATATGAAGAAAAAAATTAATTCAGCTAAAGGTAAAATTAAGTTGTTCTCGATATAATGAATTGAAGGGGGTAAATTAAAAAATTTGTTATTTTGAGAAATTCGTTAAGTCGAGGGGTTATTAGTTAATAACTTAAATTAATTATTTAATATGTAGATAATGAAATTAGAGACATGTATGGTATTGATAAAAGTCAATTGCTTGAAAAAATACAAAATAAAAATTTGGAAATAAGTGGAAAGACTGAAATAAAAGTGAATGAAATCTTGGTAATGTTTATATTTCCATAAATTTTTCATCTTTTTTCAAATCCTCACACAAAATAGAAAATGTTCAAACAAGTTTTTAGCTTTTAGTTTATCGGTCGTACTTCTGAAATTTACGATTACAGGCAGTCAGATGCCGCTTAGTAATTATTATTAATATTTACTAACAATCATATATAATTCCCCTCTACAATAAAAAAGAAGTTGAAAAGGTGGACAATTAATCAAATAAATATATATGTAATGCTCAATATTTATTTTTAGCCAATTTATAAAGAAAAAGAAATTGTTAATGAAAATAAATCATTTTCAGAGAGATTAGAACGAATTTCCAATGAATTTAGCGGTAAAATTTTGTATTTTATTAAATTGCATTTTACTGACAATATTAGTAACCCCGTAGACAAGCGATTTTTGAAAAATAAAGCCTGAACCCAGGAGACAACTAAAGTGGCTCGTATATTTTTGGGAAACACAAAATACCTCAAAATTATTTTAAATTCAAACCTAATAAAAAATAATTTATAATTTATAAAAATTTTAAGAAAATGTGCAATTGAAAGATATATTCAAATTCTTTAATGATATTTTAAATTTGGAAAATGAATATAAAAATGGAATTTTTGAGACAAATATTGAAGAATTTAAATTAAATATTTTAAATAAAAATGAAGAAAATAATTCATTTTTGTATTACTTTAACAAGAAAAAAGGCAAATTTTATTATAAAAATTGGCATTCAATAAATAATAAATTTACTTTATTTTTGGCTCAAAATATTGAAAATTTAACAGAAAATAACAAATTATCTGAAAAATCTAAAAAATTAATTTGTTTGTGGAAAATAATAGAAATTTTGTTGGCAATGGTTAATAATACAGATTTAACTATTAAGAAGGTATTAGTCGAAGTATTTATTTTTAAAATTTAACTAAATAAAAAGATTTCTACAACAGGAATCGTGACACCTCGATTCCCGAAAATCGAGAACTAGAAATTTATCGGAATTCAATTCAAAACTTTTGAAATTTGTGAATAAACGCGAATTTTTGGTCGTTTTTTCTGCCAGATCTCTCCAAAAATAATTTTAGCTTTTCATCATTTAAGCGGTTGAAAAAGTGAATTTCTGCTTTATTGACACCTTAAAATTAAAAAATTTTTGCATTCGGTGCTATAAAAAGTCGAAAGTTGAAAATATTCGGTAATTCCTGATTCCCGAAATGATTCCCCCATTCTGATATAAATTTATTTAATATAAATTTAGTAAATTTAGGCTCTCAAAATAGATGAATTGGGATTTGTTGAAAAGAAAAATTATTTGGAACATCAAATTGAGCAAGAGTAAGTAATTAAGTATTATTTTAAAAATAAATAATTTTTAGTTTAAAAGGACAGCCAATTCTGCTAAATGATATTTTAAATAATAAAGAATTCGAGAAGAAATTACGCGCATTTTTTGCTTATAAAACGAAGCAGAAATAATTTATTGGTCAATTAGAAATGTGCGTAAATCTAAATGAGATTTATAAGTAAAAATTCCATAAAATTTCGAAAATTCATTGATAAATTTAACCAATAATTATGTAGTATATAGTTCACAATTTTTCACTGAAAAATAAAATGACATTCTCTATTTCTATTAAAATAAATACGGTATTTATGTAAATATTGCGCTAGAATTTGTTTATTTTAATAATTACCATGTCTGAGTATGGCTCAGGGAGATAACTCAGAAGCCGGCTCCCACACTAAGATTTTGAAACACCCGGAGCTGGAGCCAGGATTTTGAAATGCCCGGAGCCGGAGCCAAGGTTTTCCAATTCCCACGGCTCCGGATATACATCCCTAAAGATGGGTGAAAGAAAAAGAAGTGAGCAAAAGATGAAAGGTGTGAAAAGGAAGAAAAAATTGAGACGGGTAAAAAAGATCTTTTTCATCTTTTTGAAGGATGTGTGTTAGGTTGTGTTTTCTGCACCTATTGAATTGTAACTTTCTAATGGGCGATCAGACATGATCCGTCCAGTTGGGAAAAAGATAGCGCTTATCAAGAGATTTCAAATGATATTAAGTTTCATTCGGATAGGATCTATCATAAAAATGTTATAGCTGAACAAATTAGGAAAAACGAGAAAGGAAAATGTGGGGAGATAACCGAAAGTACCAAAAAATTTTATTTTTTGGCGCCGAGGACGCAAAAAAATTCAAAAATTCTGAGCATTTTTGGAGCTCTAGCAGATACTATATTTTGATGTTTTTGGGGAAAATAACACGAAAATTGCCCAAAATCTTTCCAAAATGGTGAAAATTTTATCACAATTTTAATAATTGGCCCCAAAATGTCCCATCTCAAAATATCTAACCTAGTGGGACGAATTGAGGATTTTATACTGTGGGACGAATTGAGGGGAGGGGGAATCGGGAGTTTTGTTCAGTAGGACGAATCTGGGTGGGACGAATCGAGAAAGCACAATGATGGATCGGATCAGGGATTGGGCGTAGCCGGTTGTAAAATTATTGCGTTTTGGTGCGCCAAAACAGGAAAAACACGCAAAATTGCAGAAAGGAGTTTAGATTAATTTTAAGTTGTTTTTTTTTTGTTTTTTCAAATTCTTTTAATTTGCAAATTGAAACAAAATGATTTTTTCCAAAAAATATTTAAGATTTGCTTCAATTTAAAATATTTTCAACAAATTTTAATTAAAAATTCTCTACAAAATGACTGAAGAAGGATCCTCAAATTCTGATTTTAATTTGGTTGAAAAATTAAGCAATGATTTAAAAAAACTTAAAAATAATCTTGATGATCTTCAAATTGAATTAAATGAAGAGAAGGAGAAGACTGTTGAATTAAAAGTAAAGTTTTTTTTAATTTTTTAAAAGAATTTTATTAAATAATTTTAGAAAATAAATGCCGAACATCAAAAAGAAATTAAAAATTTAAAACAAAATTTTCAACAAGTACTTGAAGAAAATTATCAAAAAGATGATAAAATTAATTCTTTTGAGGAGGAAATTAAAAAGGTAAATTTAAAATTTTGTTTAGTTAAATTTTGATTTTCTTTCCTTTCCTCTTAAGATTTTCGAGAATCTTTGTTTTTTTGGGTTTAGGTTTGGTTTGACAATCCTACTGTAAGGGTGATTTATCTAGTAGTATTTAAAACGCTTAGGCGGAGGTTTAGTTAGTTTTTTCTACCACTTAGCATAGATAGTTCAGTGGTAGAAGTGTGAATAAGGCAGAGCGAGCACTTGTCAGCGTTGTTGCAGTTTCGAATTCTGCCTAGTGGCAGAGTCTACCTCCCTCCGGTGCCTTCAAATTACTTAAGCATTGAATTTTTTAATACTTTCCAATTAAAGTTTGGAATTACAGTCGTGGAAAAAAGTATGGAAGCGCTAGAAAATTTTTTCTTATTTCTTAATTTTTCATTCAAAAAATACGTTCTATATATCAATCGAAAGCTCTATTCGTATCTCAGTTGACATGTTTCTGCATTTTTCATGAAAATAAAAATTGGCCGAGATAATCCGGATCTACCGGATATACCAAATCCCACTTTTTCGGAAAAATTTTTCGGAACAAATTTAACAAACCCAAATGATAAAGCATATTTTTCTGAGTATTTTCCACAAAACCGCTTAGAAATATCTTTTTCCGGTCCAGAGATATGATTTTTTGAAAATCGCATTTTTCGCTTAAAAATTGAATTTTCTGCAAAAATAGACGAAAAATGCCATTTTCAAAAAATCATATCTCTGCTCCGAAAAAAGATATTTCTAAGCGGTTTTGTGGAAAATACTCAGAAAAATATGCTTTATCATTTGGGTTTGTTAAATTTGTTCCGAAAAATTTTTCCGAAAAAGTGGGATTTGGTATATCCGGTAGATCCGGATTATCTCGGCCAATTTTTATTTTCATGAAAAATGCAGAAACATGTCAACTGAGATACGAATAGAGCTTTCGATTGATATATAGAACGTATTTTTTGAATGAAAAATTAAGAAATAAGAAAAAATTTTCTAGCGCTTCCATACTTTTTTCCACGACTGTATATAGTTATGTAGGAAATTCTTTTTGTTAAATTTAAGATAAAAAATATTCTTAAAATTAATAAAATTTAATTTATATAAAAAGGTCAGTGATTTATTTGAGAAAAAGATGGGCGATTTAATTAAATTAAATAATTTGGCTAGTATGTATGCGGTTAGTTTATAATTATTAAATCTGTGATAAATAAATCTTTTAAGAAATTTCTTGGAATTAAAAACAAATGGATTATACCAACCTTCTACAGTTGTAGTGAAGGATGTGGATATTTAAATTTAATTAATGATGAAAATATTAAATATTTTGTTAATAATTTGGAAGGAGGTTAATTATTGAATTCTTAACATTAATTTTTAAAAATATTTTTAGGTTATGATCGTTTTCGTTTGGTGTCTGCAGAAAATTCATTTAATAAACCACAACATTGTTCAGCTTATTCTTTATATTATTTTGAAATTAAGTGGATATTTGAAGAATTCCCGGAGAGGAGTACACCTTGGCTTTCTATTGGTCTTCGAAATTGTACAACAAAAGAGCATACAATTTATAATGTATCTGCATCTGCGAATAGAATTTTTCATAACCAATATTCGAACCTCGCTTATAGACTTTCAACAATTTTCAATAATAACGATATTTTTGGTTGTGGATTAGTTTATCCTTCAGCTAATAAAATGGATGAAGACTTTCCTTATATTTTCTTTACGCAAAACGGAAAAGTAATTGGTAAATATTTAATAAAATTTGAA